AGAAAGCTTTCAGTGGGGGATTGCTTACTCTCAGAGGTTTATGACACTAGCACCACACTGGGGAGCATGGTGATATGCAGGTAGACATAGCTCTGGAGGACTAAGTGTGCTACACTAGATCCACAGGAAGCAGGAAGACTGAGCCACGGAGCCTGGCATGAACTTTTGAAAGCTCAAAGCCCATTCTTAGTGACACATTTCCTCTAACATGACCACACCTGCTCCAACAAGGCCACACCTCCTAGTACTTTCCAAGCAGTGCCACTCTCTGGGTGACCATGCATTCAAACATAAGAGCCCGTGGGGGACATTCTATTCAAACCACCACAGTGTGAGCTTCTCAGCTTCCTCCCACCTTCCTGGTAGTGTTTTCTCTATTCCTGGACTTCAGTTCTTTTTTTCTCCATAGCTGTCTCCAGTACCCTGAGTTCTCCTGGTTCCAGCCCAGCCTACAGTCATTTAATTTTATTTGCATTGGTGTTTTGCCTGTGAGAGTTTCAGATCTTGGAGTTACAGACAGGTGTGAGATGCCACATGGGTGCTAGGAATTGAACCCAGGTTCTCTGTAAAAGCAGTCAGTGCTCTTAACCACTGAGCCATCTCTCCAGCCCCCAGCCTACAGTCATTATTTTTGCTTTCTTCCCTTGTTTTATGATGCCATTTCCAGCTTCTCATAGCATCATGACTTTCCGGTTTCACTTTTCCTTTCCTTGCCTCTCCTTCTCTCTCTTGGCTCTTCCAGGTTCTTCCGTAGCCATCATGCAGCTATCTTGCTTATCATTACAATGTTTCCCTGACATTTTCAACCTCGTTTCTTTTCCTTTTTAAGTTTCTTTTTAAAAGATGTCTTATTTACTATGTGTGTGTGTGTGTGTGTGTGTGTGCGCGCACACACACACACACACACACACACACGCATGCACATGCCCTTGGAAGTTAGAAGAGTGGGTCAAATTCCCATGGAGCTTACATCCACTTGGACTTATAAATGGTAGTGAGCTGCCTGATATGGCTGTTAGGGACTGAACTTGGGTTGTCTGGACGAGCAGAAATGTTCTAGAGGACTAACTGGGTTTGAGACAGGGTTTCACCATGTAACTCAGGCTGGACTAGAGCTGGCTAAGCAGCCCAGTTGATTTTGAACTTTCTGTCCTCTTGTCTCAGCCTCTCCAAAGTTGGCATTATATATATGAGCAACCACACCCATTTTCCAAGGCCACTTCCTAAGGCAGCCTTTGTTCAGGAGCCCACTCCTCCCAGCCCAAGGTAATTCATTGGTTAAGTGACACCTTTAGGGCATATTTGTTTTATATTTACTAGCTTGAATATAAACACATCCAAGTTAAACAACAGCAAGACAACCATAGTATATCAGAATGCTTATTCTCCTGGGATCACACATGGAGCAACGTGGTTCTGAACAGATGCTGATATTGCTATGTTACAGTCTCTCTCATTTATTTCTGCCCTACCAGGTGGGTTCAGTATCTAAGGGGGACACTTCAGCTCAACTTTGGATGCATCAATCAAGGCACACATATTTCTGTTAGCTGGAATGATAGCTCTTAAAAAAAAAAAACAAATAATTTACTTTTAAAATAGATTTTTATTATGAAATGATAAATTTGAAAATGATTTTAAGAATTCAGTTATATGTTTAGTATTTACTAGAGAAATCATTGTATTAAAATAGATTTATAAATGACATAAAATGCCAAAAATATTTAATGAGTAATTACATCATTGGTAAACCATGATCTCTAACCATAGATCTACATCAGGACTATTCAGGGCTGTGCAAGAAAGAGAGACCAGCAGTTACATGTAAGGGAGTCCTGTGGCAGAATTGAGAATGTGTGTCCATTATGTACACTGTGGTGGCTTAATACGAATGGCCCTCATAGGCTCATAAATTTGAATGCTTGGTCATTGGGGGGGTGGTGCTAACTTGACAGGGATTTGGAGGTGTGGCCTTGTTGGAGGAATTGTCTTACTGGGTGTGGGCTTTGCGGTTTCAGGTTTCAAATGCTCACAACAGACCCAGTTCTCTCTCTGTCTCTGTCTCTGTTTCTCTCTCTCTCTCCCTGATGCCTTTCAGTCAGGTTGTAGAACTCTTAGTTACTTCTCCATCACCATGTCTGCCCGCCTGCTGTCATGCCTCCCACTATGATGACAATGTACTAAAACACTGAAACTGGAGGCCAGCCCAAATTAAATGCTCTCCTTTATAAGAGTTGCTATGATCATGGTGTCTCTTCACTGCAATGGAGCACTGACTAAGAAGACATACACCTAATAAAACTGGGTCAATCTGGCCTGAAGACAGTGAGGAAGAGGAGGAGATGTACTGTGGAATAATCTCCTTGTTCACCATGAGGATATGTCATTCTGATTGGTTCAATAAAAACTGAACAGCCAGTAGTCAGGCAGGATTTCTGGGCAGACAGAATGCAGGGAAGAAGAAAGCCAAAGAAGCCAGTCAAATGCAGAACAAGTTAGACACACAAAATGGAAGACAGGTAAAAGCCACATGGTAGAAGGTAAAGTAATAAAAATATGGGTTGATTTAAGTTAACCTAGTTAGAAACAAGCCGAAGCTAAGGCCAAGATTTCATAATTAATAATAAGTCTCTGTGTCATTTTGGGGAGCTGGCAGTGTAGAGAAGTTCATCTACAGAGAGGAGAAGAGTCATTAGAACCACACTCCTGTGCGAGGACTAGCAGGCCTGGGTCAGGAGTGCACCTCACGGAACATTGCTGCCATGAGGCTAAGGAACTATACAGAGGAGCCCACAAGGGTGGCTTGAGTTACCCCTAATGGGAGGGGTATAGAAAATGAGAGGGAAATTAGGGAAATCACCTGCCTGTTACACAGCAGCCCTTACCTAAACAAGTGGATCTTCCTATTTGAACTAAGCCTTTACTTTATATCAAAAAGTGAAGAACAGGGGGGAAAAATTAAATACAGTGGAGAAAGTATAGACCCAGAGGAAAGCAGTGCCCTGGCCACCTCTCATGACAGGGAAAGGAAATGACTGAGGTTGTCCCAGGGCCTGGGGCTTCTCATTTTTAACCTTGTTATGGGCAGAGCAGATAAGAGCTCCTGACTTTGCTCAGCGTAAACACTAGAGGATGAAAGCTAAGTGCTGTTGCAATTGCTGCCATGGCTGAGTTGTTGTCCTTCTTTTACAAAGAGAGAAAAGGCTCATTTAAACATTTATTCCTTCATTCTTCATGGCTGTTTTTTAAGCCTTTGATGTGTCCAGCATTCTTAACATTGCCATAGCACAGAAACATGCAGGAAACTGAATGCCAGTTATAAGGAACTATATGCTTACGTTTACCTTTTGTCGTGCAAAATGTAAACAATATTCAGTCCCACCATTCTAAAAACTATTTTCCAGTAGCCACTCCTGCTACCAAGTGGCAGTTTGCACTGCAGACTTTTTGTCTTAAGATAACCATATAGGAATGGAAAAGAGTTTGCTGTCAGTGTGGTGTGTCCTGAGAGACAACAGTGTTCCCACTTATCGCCAAGCTTAAAGGTTCTGTTCTTTTTCTTGACCATTCCCATAAAAAGAATCAGGGCAGGATATAGCAGATGTCTTCCCATGGGCATAGGGAAGTGCAGGAAGCAGTGCTCTGTGAGCCCCGTGGTGGTGCTTCATGTGCTAATGGCTCATTTAATCCTTAGAATACATTTCTGGAAATGAAACCTGAGAAAATCATGAAGATACCCACAGTCATACAAAGAATATGAGCAGAGAAGAGCACAAGAGAGTGTATGATGAAACACCAAGTCTGTTCTGTTCCCATCCTGTTGCTATGCCAACAGCATCTCATGCATATACACACACAAACACACACATATACACACTCATAAATACACAGAGACATACACACTTATAAACACATACTCATATGCACACATACATATACACATACATCCATACCTACACATACAAACACATATACACATACATCCACACACACACATACAAACATATATACACACATATATGCACAAATACACACACACTCATAAACACACACATACGCAAATACGCACACATAAACGCACACATACACATAAACACACACACAAACATACATACATGCATGTTGCCCACTAAGCAGAGTTCCTGAATATTTATTTCACCCTCTTGTGCTAGTCAGTTAGCCCAGTTTTGCTGGGTTAGACATGAAGACAAAGAGCAGCTCATCCCAGGAGACTAAGCAGAGAATAGGTCACTTAAAGTGAAGGACCCAAAGGGCAGAGCTGCCTCTGCCATTAGAGGCAAGAAGCAAAGGTGCTGTCACATACATTGGGCCTTTTTTTCTACTGGGATAACCAGTTTTTCCTGCATTTTTATATTTCCAGCTTCTGCAACATTCCTGAATTTCCTTGTGTGACCTGCAGTATTGAAACTCTGGAATATGGAAGAGTTCATATGTGCATTTTTCTCTTAAAGTTCACCAACACATTTTCAAAATGAATGTAAGTCTTTTATTTCTTCCTACATATTCTCTTTCTTTTGGATCATCAAAAAAAAAAAAAGAAAGCAAAATCAATTCTATTTCATGTTTGGTTTTCGGTAAAGTGTGAGAATTATCTGAACCATTTCCTTGTCCTAGATAGGGAAATATGTTTTCCATGCCATGGTTGACTGGAAGCACATAGGTAAAATAAAAATCTTCAAACTACTTCCCTTCAGATCCAGAAACGATGAGCAATTTGACATCCTGTATCCCCCCCGACTGCAAAGTAGAAACCTCTCTGTCAGAAGCTATTCTTGCAATATTATACCCCTAATGTTATGGGAAGTTGTTTGAGGCAAAAGGCAGCTGTAATAATGGGATTGTGTTTCGAAAAAGAGCTGGCTGTAAGGCCATACCGTAAATGAAAAGCATCATAAAAGAAACGCTCCCACTCTTAAGAAACAGTGAGACTGCTGGAATAACTCATTGCAGGCTGTTTTCATAGCCCCCTAATTCTGTTTTTAAAATCAAAAGCAGCTCGGAAAGAATAGCTCACTCGGAGTTGGGAAGAAAGCCAAGCCTGTGCAATTTACACAGAATCTCAAGTCTTACTAAATACAGGCCATTCATTCAATCAATCAAAGAAGCAAGTATCGAGCACCAACTCGAGATGTTTAATTACGGTATGAGGCACACCTCTCCCCTCCCCCAAAGAATTTTACAGTTAGGCAAAGGCGATAAGTATAATGAGCTAGGGATCCTAAAGATAAGCAAAGGCCCAGGTAAAGGGAGAAGCAGGTAACAGGCACAGCAAGGAAGGCTTACATTCTAGAGGAAGTAGCATTAGCCTGAACCTTGGAAGATGGGGACAGAGAATATTCTTGATAGAAACCACAATGTGAGAACAAAAATGATGTGAGGCAAACTCTGTGAAGGGTGTGGAAGAACATGCTGGTAGCCAAGGGAGTGGGTGGGTGCGACCTGGAGAGCCAGAACCACAAGAGACAGCAGCCAGACCCTGTCCAGAAATAGGTGAACCTTCAGTAGCTGTTTGGCTGATGGAGTCAACTGCTCCTCCAGAGGGTGGTTAATGAAGGCCTCACAACTCTTGTATGCAGCCAGAGAGACACAGTGAAGACTATTTTCCTTCTTGGCCTAGCATTAGGATAATCCACAATGCTAACTTCAGTATCATGGCCAAGAAACAGGAGTCTCCTCTTCTGTTTTGTTTATTTCACTCATTTCTGATTTCATCTTAGTTTTTTCCAGAGTCTCTGTTTTCTGTTTTCCTTTATCCTCAATTCCTCCTGAAAAAAAAAAAAAAAACCTTGTATTACATATGCATTGACAGTGACTTACTAACGAATGTACCATAAAGATACAAACAACAAAGGAGGCCGGGGAGAAGGGTGCCCAATAAGTGCCTTTATCAGAAGCCAAATTAGTAACATTTTCTGAATAGACTACCCGATATATCATTCCCTGACAGTTCTTACAAGTCCTACAATTTCCACAGCTCAGAAATTGTTCACACAGCTGGTTATATCCACCTTAGACCTACATTTAGAAGTAAACATGACTTTTAATAATAGCTTGTTTTATTTTTTATTTAAATAACATTCTTCATTTATTTTACTCACCAACCAGTTTCCTCTCCCTCCTCTCTTCCTGTTCCCTCCCCTTCCCATCTACCCTCTTCCCCATCTGCTCCTCTTCCATCTCCATTCTCCAATCAGAAAGGGGCAGGCCTCCCACAAAGCATGGCTTGTCAAGCTGAGGCAGGACCAAAGTCCTCCCCTTATATCAAGGTGGGGCCAGGTAATCCAGCCTGGGGAGCAGGTTACCAAAAGCCAGCTAAGTACCAGGGAGAGGTCCTGGTCCCAGTTATAAGCCTTACTAAGGGACCAGGCTACACAGCTGTCATATACATGCAGAGGGTCTAGGTCAGTCCCATACAGGCTCCCTTACAGTTGGTTAGGTGTCTGTGAGCTCTGGTGAGCTCAGGTCTGCTGTCTCTGCGGCTTCTCCCATCATGACACCCCTGGCTTGTACAACCCATCATCCATTTCTTCTGTAAGACTCTTGGGGTTCAAACAGTGCTTGTCTGAGGATCTCTGCCTCTCCTTCCGTAGGTTACTGGGTAGAGTATCTCCAATGACAATTAGGGAAGTCACAAATCTGCTTACAGTAGACGGCCAGTTCAGATACCCTCTCCACCATTGCTAGGTGTCTTACTCGGGCTCATCCCTGTGGGTTCCTGGAGGTTTCCCTGGCACCAGATTTCTTCCTAACCCAAAAATACTCCCCACATCAAGATGTCTCTTTTGTTACCCTCCCTCTCCATCCTTCAACCTACCTCCTGTCTTCTAAACAAGAAATGATATTTCTTAGCATGAATGCATTTAGACAGTAGGCAAAAATATTTTGAACTAGCACTAAAGCAACAGCCAGACTTCCTTCTAGAATACACCCAAATCAGTGCTTATGACAGCATTCTACCCTGCCAAGTCAAAAGAGCCTGGAATGCCCAACCATGACACAACCATGACAGATAGGAGTAGCGATAGAGAGTGTTGCATTCTGGGACATCAAGGACTCATGCATCTTCAGATCATTTATCATCCATAGCTCCAAATAGGTGGGTATTTGATGTCTGCTAAACTGCACATCTGAGGACTAATCTATTCACGCATGGCCCTAATCCTTTCCGTTCAGCTCACTTAGGTTGAGTAAAATAGCAAACATTGGAGACTATATTTGATTCTATACATAATAACACATAGTTGTGGACATATTTTGTTTGTGATCTAACAAATAAAGCTTGCTTGAAGATCAGAGTGCACAGCTAAGCTACTACTCATCCCATAGAGGCCAGGCAGTGGTGACACATACCTTTAATCCTAGCACTCAGGAGGCAGAGGTAGATGGATCTTTGTGAGTTCAAAGCCAAGCTGGGCTATATGAGATTAATCTGGTCTAAAAGAGAAATAGAGCCAGGTGGTAGTGGCTCACTCCTATAATACTAGTATTTGGGAGTCACATGTCTTTAATCCCAGCACTAGGGAAGTAGAGATAAGAAGGTCTATGACTGGGCAGAGAGAGGACTATAAGGCGGGAGAAAACAGGAGCTTGGTGCATTCAGTCTGAGGAGTCATAGAGACAAGATCTTGCATATTCAGTTTGAGCATTTGGAACTCTAGGGGTTGGCCGCTCTGCTTCTCTGAACTTTCAGCTTTTACCCCAATAGCTCACTCTGGGCTTTTATTATTAAGACCAATTAGAATTCACACAACACATGGTGAGAGAAAGTATGGGGGAAATGGCACAGTAAGAGCAAGTGTTGCTCAATCATGAGATTCTGAGTCTAAATCTCCATTGCCACACAAAACCAGCCAGGAGAAGCCATGAACACTTATATCCCCATCATTTCACTGAAGGCAGAGACAAGAGGATTGTTGGCGATTTCTGGCCAGCTTACCTAACCAAAAGTGAGTTCCAAATATGGTGAAAGACTATGCCTGTCTTGAGGGAAGAAGGTAGAGAAGGAGAGAAAAAGGCACTTGGAGACTTTAAATGCCATGACTTCCTACACATTTGCTTCTGTGTACACACGTACAACACACATGCACACATGGACAATTTTTTCCAAAGTAAGTGTTAAGGCAATGACCAAACAGTTTGCCTAATAGTGTGTATGGCCTTGAGTGCATCTGAGTTAAAGAAATAAAATCATTGTTAGTTTACAAATATATGTACTAAGAACTTAATGCTTATCTAGTAAACATGACTTTCCACAGTCTGAAAATTGGAATTTGCTAAACATGCATTCATCATTTACTTCCCACATCATTTCCTATGCATAATTATACAGTAGAAACAATGACAAAATTAATAAACCATGGACTATGAAACCAGAAAAAAAAAAAGAAAAGCAAAGGGAATTCAGGTTGAAATCTCTGAAAGTCTATAAGTATTTGCTCTTTGCATTGAAAAGAGATAGTTGATCTTACATGTGTTTGGTTGGCTGGTTGTCTTACCTATTAGGATACAGCTTACCTATTAGGATACAGCTATTGAAAGAGCTACTCGTGGTAAAAAAAAACAAACAAACAAAAAAAAAACAAAAAAAAAACATGCCTTTGCTCTAGTGTGTGCAAATATGACTAGGCATGGAATGTTCTATATCAGTAAAGCAAGTCCCTGCTTCGGAATATAAATGTATCATCACAGAGCGTCTCCAGCAGTTAGCTTGGCTATACATAATCCCCAGCCAGTACCTCTTCTCCCAAAAAGTAATGGAGAAAAAAAAAATAAAGGCAGTAAGCTTTCAAACTTCCACCTGCATTAGCATGGCAAGGCATAACAGTTTGGAGACCATTTCTGCTTAATGAACACCCACATTTGCATTTGAAGAGGACCTCGGGGGGCCGTAAAGTCAGCACAGCATAGATAATTCTGAAGTCAACCCTTTTCTCTCACTAAAAGGTCCTTTAACTATAAAAACCAATTTTAATAAAAGGCATCCCTACTCAAGTTCTTCCATTATACAATATACTTCATCATAACATAAAGTGTTTGGCCCGGAAACTAACTTTATGGATTCCAGAGTAGATTAATGTTATTATTAGTCATGATGGCATACAGAATATCACATGTTTATACCTCATCAGACAAGGGTCAAAACAAAAACCTGGATTAGATTTTAAAGGCTAATTTCTTTGTTGTGCATTTTCCCAGTATCTACATGAAGAACAGGACTGAAAAGTGTCTCCTCATCGTCACAGACAATGACTGCAAGAGTGTTAAACAGGAAGTTACAGAGGGAACATTTGGAGTTGGACATAACGTGCTTAAGTTACAACACTCTGAACAGAGCTCCAGGGTGCTTTACCTCAAAATAAGAAATAGAAAAAGAAAAAATTGAGATTCTGCCATCTGGATATGGGAGATCAAGAGGGCTGGCTAACCCAAAGTCATGGAGTTCACGAGCACATATCTGTCTCAGAAACTGAAATCAAGTATTTCCAGAAATTTTCTTTCTCATTTAAAATTGCACTTCTTCAGTAAGGTCTTCTAACCCTATCTAAGACCAGTTGTCTCCTTCCCTCTTTGTCCTAGAACCTCCTTGCCTTTTCCCACATTTGTAACCACGGCCAGCATTTCATGCCCTCTAGGGTGACGCTGCAGATAAAGCCCTGACCTGAAGCATGTCAGGAAAGGCTCTACTACTAAGATATCCACCCAGTTCTACCCAATAACATTTTTAGACTTCTCATATTTGCTCTGTGTCTCTGGGTCGCTTGTAAGCTTTGGGGTATGAGGACTGACCTGTGCCGACATATAAGCACTAAATATGTGTTACATGAGCGAATGAGTAAGACAAACTGAAGAGGAAGTAGGTCCACAGAAATCTTTCCCTCCTTGCCTCGCCTCCCACTCTCTCTCTCTCTCTCTCTCTCTCTCTCTTTTTTTTTTTTTTTTTTTTTTTTTTTTTTTTTTTTACTATGGGACACATGGCTCCTAAGAAACACTCGCTGTTTTAGGCTAGGAAGTATACTGACTTCCTATGGGTGCTGTTAAAGACCACCACAGACTCAGAGGTTTCTCCCAGGCTCTTTATTGTAGACAGGAGTGGGGTTCAGGTTTCAATCAACATGTTGGCAGGACTCCACTCTTTTTATAGGCTCTTAGTCAGATTTGTCTGTGTCGGATTTATTTCTTAACTTTTCCACCTCTTAAAGACTGCCTGGCTAGTCACCCCTACCTGCCTTCTTCAAGTCCTGTTTCGTTTAGAACATGTGACCCCTGATTATTATTTTGAGACAAAGTCTCATGTAGTCCTGGCTGACCTAGAACTTTATAATACAAGGAGTCTTAAACTGGTAGTAATCCTCCTGCATCAGCCTCCCAAGTGCTGGGATTGCAGGCATGCACCGCCATTCCTGACTGGACATCCTTTCTGTCATCAAATCCTCTCTGAATCTTTTCAGCCTCACTTTTCCAACGAAAGTCTTCATAATGATGTAAGGTCCACTTGGATAATTGGGTTATTTTCCCACTCTAAGGTCAATTGATTGAAGGCCTTGATTTTTGCTTTCCCAGAGGCAGACGCATCCTCAGGTTCTGGCAATTAAGATACAGTTACTTTTCTAAGGGAAATGATTCTATTCCAGTGGGTTGATGAGGGAGGGAGGGACACATGAGGGAGTGAGGGCACACATCCAGCGGTAAGAAGACTGTTCTGTGCTTATTGTGGCTGGGTCAGCAGCCTTCTGAAGCAATGCTTTGACATAAATAGGAACAACAA